GGATCCATTTTCCAATCACAAGATACCGGAAAAAAAATAAGAATCTGAGCCGTCCCGGGCAATAGGGGTCCTCCTTCGTCGGAACCCCTAAAAATAGGAAAAATCTTGGAAACCGTTTTTAAAAAGCGTTAATTCGATGGCCTAGATCCTTTCCATTTCGTATTCAAAGCGTCACGCCGGCCCTTCCAAACAACCATTAGCCTGTCTTTTTCCTGGATGTGGCCAGGCCTGGCCAGGCACAGCAGGCCCGCTGCACCGCTGCGTTGCGATGCACACGCTACCTCGCCGGCCCGCAGAGGCAGCGACGGACTGCGCGACGCGACGCGACGTTCGAACGACTTTTCGAATTTCTCTTCTGCGAAGTGGTGCGCCGCGCGGCGGCGGCGTCGTGGCTGGAGGCTGCCTGGAGGCTGCCTGGAGCGCGGCGCCGCGACACTCGCATCGGCTGCGACAAACGTGTCCACGGGGTGGTCTGATTGCCTCGTGCATTCCGCGGACGGAAAAAAGAGCGGCCGCCCAGCGCACTCACTCTATCTGTCCGTCCGTCACGTCTGGCGCGGCCAGGCGCCTGCGAGGGCCGGGTAGGCAACCACGCGGCACGCGCTGGTTCGGCGGCACGGCCCACGCCACAGGCGGTCCGCTTCCGAACACTGCTCCGTCGCTCTGTCTCTCTCGGACATCCAGGGGAAGCCCCATGAGTGCGAAAGAGATACAGCGACGAACGAAACCGCTGCTCTGAATGAGCTCGCAGACGCCGAAGCCGAAATGTCGGGCAGACGGGTCGGGCGTTGGGCAGGGCAGCGAGCGGCGAGCGCAGCCTGGCGCAGCCCCGGCCCACAGTGGGTCAGATTCGGAAAAAGCTGTGCAAAAAGGCATTTTGTAAATGTTCGAATTTGGAAAAACTGATTGCTGTATGTGATAAAGGGATGTCTAGTGCGCCAGAAGCCGATTTTATTTTGTCCCTGCACCGCCCGTTATCGGCAGGCTGAGCGCTTCCGTCTCCGCTATTTCGAACGCTGAGCGCGAAGCGATGCGCGTCGGAGAAATCTAGTTTCTTCTTGCGCTGTTCTACGGAACGGAGGGAGGTCCAGAAATTATTTAACCTCACGACTCTGTAGTTTAAAACCTCCTCTTTCCATTGGTACCAGCGGAATTCCGTTATCGTTGATAGTTTCGGCGACAGAGCGAAATACACAAAGGAATGCAAACCACCATTTTCATGACAAACCACTCTTACAAAATAGGCTGGGAAACCTGAAAAGCACCGAAAAGCACCGCGATTTTTGTACCAACTTGAAGCTTGAAGTGTCCTCTATCGAACGCACTACGCGGATTTGTCGGCAAGTTCCGGCATAACCCGTGAGAAGCAAAACTAGGGACCGATGCAGAGGGCGCGCGCGCGGAATTCGGGCCAGACCGGGCAGCGCCGTAGCCAAACGGTTTCGCCGATCGGACTCAAATTTGGTGTGCGGGGGTTTTGAAGGCCGGCGAGTCCATTTCCAACGTTATTCTGAGTCAGTGGCGTACCCTTTTCCCAGTAGCGTGGGTAAAATTACAAAAAAAAACCTATATTGCTATGAGATCTGTATTCTGTAAGTTTACTAGGTTCCTCAATTTAGTTTTTGCACTATTTTGATTCAGTGGCGTATTCTTCACCCAGTGGCGTAGGTGACAAAAAACAAAAACAACTGAATCGTTATGCAATTTTCGTTCTGAACGTTTAGGAGGTCCCTGAATACAATTTGATCAATATTTTTAATCAGTGGCCAACCCGATACTAAGTGGCGCAGGCTAAACACAAACAAATAAGACGTAAGCGTTATGAATCTGCGGTTTGAAATGTTTAAAGGGTCCAAAAGACACCCACCAGTTTTTAAAACGAATGGAACCAATTCATAACAATAAAGGAGTTTTTTGGATGTGTGATTTTTTTTGTCTACGCCACTGGACTAGAGACATGCCACGGAAGCAAAATTATGTTAAAATTTATTTCAGGGACCCCCAAAACATAGAGAACCAAAAATTGATAACGATCAAGTTGATTTTGTGGTGTTTTGCCTACGCCACTGGGTAAAGGGTACGCCACTGATTCAAAATAACGTCAGAAATGAACTCGCTGACCCTCGAAACCCCTGCACACAAAATTTGAGTCCGATAGGAGTAACCGTTTAGCCGTGAGACATTTTGCACAGCTTTTTTCGATTCTGACCCACTGTGCGGCCGGCCGGTCGGAGTGTTGGCGTGTTGGCAGTGGCGTTCAGCCCCTGCTCACACCTTTACGGGGACATAAACCTGACCGCGGTTTGCGCCGCCAGCCAGGCAGGCAGGCAGGCAGGCAAGCAGGCAGTGGGGACGCCGAACATGTTAATCCGACGCGACGAGCCAAGACCAGGCCAAGACCAGGCGATATCGACGCGACGGGTCAATCCGGGTCGGCCGCTACCGGGCCTCGGGCTCCGCGTGCGGGGGTGGGGGCATCTCGACGCTCGCACACGCTCTCTCACACACACAAAGTCACACCTCGGCACTCACACACGCGCACACAGAGTGCCACACACACGTTGAGCAGGACGAGGCAACCCAATCGAGCCATTCGATCTGTCGATTAGCACTTCGATTAACGGACGCCTCGATTAAGCCGTTGCCTGCCGATTGATACTGCGGTGGTGGTCATCAGTCTCCATCCAGGCTGGACGCGCCGGTAGCGCCACGCGATATGAGAAGAAGAAAATGGAGAAGAACGGGAGGAGAGATTCGATCCGCAGATTAGAGGGGAGATCACTCGGCCATGCCCGCGGCATCGTTCAAACTATTAATGAAGCGCCTGCTTCTCCCACCGAAGGCAGGGCCGGCGGGGCGTCCATGCAGTGCGGGAGCAGCGGGTCGACGGCCGGCATCATTGTTCCTCGCGCCGGAGTGGCGGCGTGCGGCGAGCGGCCCGCTGATTAGCCACTTGCGGAGCGCGAACAAAGAAGACCACGGCGGCGGCCTCTCCGAGGACCCCATCGACGACCCCAGCCGATCCCCGCGACCACCGCATCAAACGGCGCGGCGCGGACCGCCACGTGGACGTGGCAGGGGGAGACACGCGAGCCGCGGCGCGCGAGACATCGCAGAAGATGGCAAATTGAAGCTGCAGCAGGTGGCGGCTGCAGCAGCGCGTCGACATCGCCAACGCCATCGCGATGCCGAAGGCAGATGCAGAATCACTCACGGGCGGAACGGGCATCCGCATGCGGCGATACGGCGCGCGGCATCGGCCGGTGAAGGGCACTCAATGCGAGCATGCTGACGGCGACCGACGGCCCGACGGCGGCGTCCTTTAAACCTCGCCGCCGCCACCGCCACTTTGACGGGGCCGCTGTGGCATGCGTCCGCCGACAGAGGACGCCACGGCGACCCCGCGGGGCCGCACCGCGTGTCTTGGGGTCGCCGGCACACACGGCCACGGCAGGTGTCCTCAAGCCAAAAAGCATTTTTTAGCTAAATAGCGTGAGGACACGGGCATCATAAAGGCACCTGCACGACTACCCGTCATGGAGGGAGACACTCAATCGTACATCGAGTGATTTACATTATTCAGGTTGAAATCATTCGATATATCTCTGGAGGCTTGCTAATGGATGGAGGACGCGGAACCCTCTCTATCCAGTATTCGAACCACGGTCGGTATGCCCCACCCCACTCCACCTCGCCCCGCCACGCCCCGCCACGCCCCGCCACGCCCCGCCACGCCCCGCCACGCCCCGCCACGCCCCGCCACGCCCTGCCACGCCCCGCCACGCCCCGCGCGCCAGCTCACGGGGGCGGCCTGGTGGCGTTCCGGGCGTCACCTTACCCAAACTTTGATACGGCAGCACAATGCCCCGGTAGTTGACGGCCGCAATGAGGGGGTTGGGCCGTGACGCGCGCAGTGCCACGCGGTGTGACACGCCACCTCTGCTTTCCCCTGCAGCCCGGCCCGTCCCGGCCGCCAGTGCGTGTAATAACACATAAACACCATCCCTCCTTTCACGGCCTGGCTCGGCCTGCAGCTCATTCCGAACAGGGCGTCGTCGCTCTGTCTCTCTCGCATGCACGGCGCGCTGCGAAGGGGTGCGAGAGAGACAGAGTGAACTGGTTGGCTCCGCTCGGCGCTTCTTTGTCGTCATTACGAGTGCAGCGCCCGGGTGGCCAGTCGCCGTCGAGGTCCGCCCGCCACCAGAAGCACAAATAGAGACGAAAACAGTCGTAGGCAGCGGGTGAGGCCCAATGCGTGTTTAACACACCAAGTGCATACTGTTAAAATAGACCGACTTCGCTACCTAACCTAACATGCTGATGAAAATTGATTTGATTCTTATGATCTGATTCATGTTGAAACCGATCCATATGCGGGCATGGCAGCAAGAGAGCCTCTTGAAGAGACTCGAAGCTGGCGTCCACGCGGTGGTACTCGGTGTCGGTCCGGCGGCGGAGGTTCGAGTCCCGGTGGCGGTAACGACGCGAAAGCTGTGCCGCGGAACGCTGCGCGCCGCGCCGCGCGGCTCCGGGCACGTCATACGGGGAAAGTATACGCGCCAGTGTGGCATGTTGGCAGCAGCAGCAACAACAACACCATCAACCACCAACAGATACAAACAATAACAGCGCACGTCCCCGGGACGCCGGGACGCGCCCTTCCGCGATGTCCGGCCGCGCCTCGGGCTGCCTCGGGCTGCCTCGGGCCGGGCCGTGGGCGTCCCGCTGATGCCGCGGAGCACCGCGAGGACACGTACCGCACTTGCCCGTCGGCAGCCACCCCGGAGACGAAAAGCAACTCGACAAAATGTTCGCGTTGGAAAACATTGACAAGAAGGCTACGGAAAATGTTGGATTGTGGGTACGGAGAATCATCCACAAGTTGTGTACAGATTTCTCCGTAACTTTTTGCCACAGTGGAGAAGAGGCGAAGCGAGTATGTGTGTGTCTACTGTGTCATCCGCTAAAAACAGCGAAAAATTTGTAAAGTAATGGCTTACCTGAGCTCGTTGGAGGACTCGACGAGCAGCTTGACGCAGTCCAGGCAGCCCCTCGCCGCCGCGTAGTGCAGCGCCAGGGCGCCATTGCCGCTGCGCTCCAGGGCCGGCATCTCGGCCTCCCACAGCAGCCAGCGCAGCACGTTCAGCCGGCCGTACCTGCAGCAGAGACGCGCCACGTCACGCCAAAGGAAAAGGCCCGTCCAACCCTCTGGGCCAAGGGGTAACCAACTCAAGATTTTCATGTAAGCTGATTATATTTAGAGTATGATTACATGTGATTTCTTTTGATTGTTTTATTATTTATCACTGATTATAGGAGGTTATTATGTTGATTATTGGGAAATATTGGGGATTATTAGAGCGCCAACCTCGGAAAGCTGTTAAAGTGTCGGAAATTCAATATTGGTGACTTTGGAGCACCACTGCGTCAAATTTAGTTGCGGTCACAGGCCTTCCTCGACGCCTTACTGTTCTGAAGTTCCTACTCTTTCATGCCCTGCCTCGGGAAGGCTTTGACCGCTGATAATTTGGGAGCAGTGGTCTCGCAAAATGGTCAAAAAGTGAATGAATTTCAGAAAATTACCGTTTTTGCTAACTTTGAGTGGTCACTGCATCCAATTTAGTTGCGGTCAAAGGCCTCCCTTGACGCCTTACTATTCTGAAGACCCTACTCTTTTATGCCCCGCCTCGGGAAGGCTTTGACCGCTGATAATTTGGGAGCAGTGGTCTCGGAAAAATGGTCAAAAAGTGAATGAATTTCAGAAAATTACAGTTTTTGCTAACTTTGAGTGGTCACTGCATCCAATTTAGTTGCGGTCAAAGGCCTCCCTTGACGCCTTACTATTCTGAAGACCCTACTCTTTTATGCCCCGCCTCGGGAAGGCTTTGACCGCTGATAGTTTGGGAGCAGTGGTCTCGCAAAAATGGTCAAAAGTGATTGAATCCCCGAAAGTATGATTGTCATTTCATTGGATGATGTTGATTATTTCACTGATTACCAGCTAGACGTGCAATGATTATCTTGAGTTGGGTACCCCTTGCTCTGGGCCCATGGCCAGGGCACAGGGGCCAAACCAATGCAGGCAGCCAAACCGCTTGGCTCGCTTTGAGCACCAGGGTCGCTAAACAGGACTCAAAATGAACGTGTGACCTCACCAACGGATTCCTCGTTCGGAGAGCAATCCAATGGTAGGGTCACACGTTCGATTTGAGTCCTGTTTAGCGACTCTGGAGCTCAAAAAACACTTCCGGTATTTTGAGCGCCCCCACTGTGTGGTGCGAGGGCGCCGCGCCGATGCGACCGCAGCCAACAGCTCGAGCTCGCGACGCGCAGCTGCCGAGTCGGACAGTGCACCTGAAGAGGTAGGCAGACCAACGCGCTCCGACGCCGGACGGGCTGACTGCGGGGAGGCGCGCTGCAGAGCGCCGCAGAGAGCAGCAGGGAAGAGGGGGGAGCGCACACTCGAACCGCGCAGCAAAAGGCGAGCAGACTGAAAATTCGACGAGTTATTGTGATGGAAAAGGGTGTCATGCTGAACTCGAGAGGGTAATCACTCGCTTTGGGACTTTCTGCGGCAACAACGGCCAATGTACGCCAGGAAATCGTACTCCTTCGACGGGACATTATTCTTTGATGCTTTCTTTATCACTCCTTGGAGTAGGTTTTCGCGCCTTCGTTTGGAAACAGTTTTTCTGCAAAGTTGGTGAAGGCGGTGCCATTTGCAAAGAAATCGTCCTTTGGGTGGACTTTTGGCGGCCACTGCTTCCGATTCAGGCCGGGCAATCGTACTCCCTCTACAGATCAGTATGATGCCTCCTTTGGCATGCCTTTTCTGCTGCCCGCACTGCGCTACAGGATGTCTCGCTGTGCGCGGTGGCTGCCCCGGCTGCCATGGCTACCGAAGCGCTGTTTCTCGGTCACGGGTTTATTATACGAACTAGCAAGCTGGCCGCGGTGCAGCGATGTGCACTGTGTGTATAAAGGGGAGGGAGGGGGAGGGGCGCAGAGAGCACCCATTAAGATGTTTCAAGTTCAGCCCGCCTCTCCGTGGGGGGCCACCTCGGCAGGGCTGCCAGCGAAAAGGCGCATCCGCTGCAAACAAAAACAAACTCCAGGCGCACGGTGCAGCATGACGGACGCAGGCCGCGATCCATTCCACTACGTCCACGAGGCTGTCCACTACTGCAACGCACTGCACCACACGCCCGACGTGGATCGCGCTATGCAGTCCGGCCGTCGGTCACCATTGCCATTGACAGTCATCACGCGCTCTATATCCGCCGAAAATGCCGAAAATGACGAAAATGGGCGTGCATTCCCTCGCGCAGCGACCGTGACCCGGTCCTCCTGTTCTCCGGTCCGCGCAAAGTGTCGACGCCACGACGACGCCACAAACTTTTTCTCGCGTTTGTCGTCGCGCCGGTTGCAGCTGCTGCGAGCATCCTGGCCGTGCCGCCGGTTCCACGTAGTTCCACGCGATCCGAGCTGCCCAGAGCTGCCCGTGTGGGTGCCGCATTTTCCCGGCGGAAGGGAACGGAGCGAGAGAGAGCCGGCCGAAGCAAAGCGAAGCGAAGCCAGCGCGGGGAAATTTGAATCCGCAGAACAACACAGAATCGGCAACGCGCCAAACACCCGCCATGTTTCCGGACCACTCCTTGTCCGTCTCATTACCGGCTTGCCCGACTGACGCGTCACTGACACCTCGCAGACACGTCACTGACGCAACAGTGACGTCACGGCGCCGCTAGTGACACGCGGCCGAGGTGATTGATGGCTTACACACGGACTATCACATTATCACACCACACTGGTCGGGCGGCGCGCTAGCCGTGTCAGTGGCGTGTCAGCGCGCGTCAGTGACGTGTCAGTGACGCGTCAGTCCTAATGCAGGGGCTAATTAGCCGCGCCGGCCGGGGCGCTTTCTCCGAGATGAGCCGAACGCGGTGACACACGCGGTGACGCAACGCAGGACAAGGGCCCACTGGACCTCTCCAAATTGGCGGCAGGACGTTTGGTGTGTTATCTCACCGGCCCAATTCACTTTCGTTTTTCCCTTTTCCTGCTTTTACGGCGGCCCGTCCTCGTGGTCCCGGCCGTCCCGGCCCTCGTCCTGGCGGCCTGGCGGCTCACTTCCGCTGCGTCGGATGTCGCTCGGCCCGGCTCGGCCGGTCCCACAACACAGTCTCCCGATGGCCCGAATCGAACGGTAACAGCTCCTCACCAGCCGAAGCAGCCGAAGCCAGGCGACGCCGCTTCTCCCCTCCACCCGACAGCATGCGTCCAAGAGGACGACGCAGAGGGGGAAGCGTCCCATCAGGTCGCCGCGGTCGCGGCACACGGATTTAATTTCACTTTCATCGGCCGGCCGGCCGGCTGACCGGGGGAACGAACGCCCATGCAAAGTGGGCGAGGAAAAAACACACAGTCGAACACGGCAGAAGCAACAACAACAACAACAACAACAGGGCGCGTGGGAGCGTGCGACATGTGCACTCTCGGTGTCCAATTTTCTGCTCTTACGCGGACGGGCGCCATCAATGGCATCAAAGAGACAGGCAGCCGGTGCAGCCAGCCTGAATGCCGGTGCCAGTCGAATGGCGCCGCGACTCCCAGCGGCCGGCCGGCCGGGCGACCGGCATTGGCGGCACAGGCCGCATTGTGCGTCGCAGCGTCGCAGCGCCGCCGGGGCAGTCACCCATTGGACACGGCCGCGGCGCCGCGGCCACAAAGGGCAGTGCAGGCCGGCCACGTCCGCATGCACCGCCAAATGTGACGAACCGCGGACTCGGTCTTCAGCGATTCAACTACTACAGACCCACAGGATCACTACACAGCGGTTCGTATCTCACCGGCAGTTCTGGACCTTGAGGCAGCGGTTGAGGCCGTCCAGAGCCCCCGTGGGGTCGAGGTCGTGTCCGAGGCCGTACAGCACCTCGTGCCGGTGGTCGTGCAGCTGCAGGCGGTGCTGGCGGTCGTCCTGGGCGCCGCGGCCGAGGCTCAGCGTCTTGCCGGCCTGCCGCTTCCAGCGTCGCCACTCGGAGAGCACAGACGGCTTGCTGTCCGCTGCGGCGGGCGCGCCTCCCAGGGCCTGCCCCAGGTCGCCGTCGACGCGCACCTCGATGGCGCCCCACTCGGGGTGGCGCAGCGTGCTGGGCCGGGGCCCCTGGGGGCGGTGTGCGCGCGTCGAGTGGCTGCGGTCGCGCTGCCGCCACCGGAACGCGGGCCGCTGCCGCTCCCGCCCCCGCCCCCGCTCTCGCCGGGCCGAGGGGGCCGCCTCCCCGCGGGGCGCGCTCGGGACGGCCTCGGTGGCGGCGGGGCTCCAGGCGCCGCGCTCGCGGTGCACGCCGCGGAGGATGGCCCGGGCCGCCCGCGCCAGCGCCCCCGCGCCCCTCCCGGCGCCGCACAGCGGCTCGCCGGGCTCGCTGCCCGCCTCGCCGGGCGTCTCAAGCGGCTCTTCCTCCAGGCGTCGGCGGCGTCGTCTCAGCATGGCGTCGCCCGCAGCGCGGGGGGCGGCCGCCGCAGCCGCGACCCCATGGACGGTAGGCACGTCGTCTTCTGGACTCTTCGGGGGGCGTCTTCATGCTGATACCAAGTCCTGCGTCGCCATGGCCCGTCGCACTGGTACACACACGCCTCGTCGTCACCACAGCGCCCAGGCCCTACCCAGACCGTGGGGCCACCCCATCGCCGTCGTGGCCGCGGTGGCCTGGCCAGCCCGGTGGCGCGCGCGGCCCTCGCGGCCGGTCGGACTCGAGTGGCGGTCGGCGCCCACGTGCTCGGCGTGCACGGCCGGCGGATCGAACCGCGGGGGAAAATGGAGCTGCAGAAAAGTGCAGCGTGCAGCTGGGGCCGCGGACTTGGAGTGGTAACGGCTGCCACGCACACCACGCGCGTAGCGAGGCTGGCCGATGGGCTGGCCGATGGGCTGGCCGATGGGGCTGGCCGCGGCCAAGGGGGATAGGCAAGCCAGGCGCCTCGCCGCCCCGCCAGCCCCGCCAGCCAGCCAAGCGCGACACCGCCGGCGCCGCGGCCAGCAGACTATGGAGGAGGCAACGGAACCACAACAACAACGGGGACGCGAAAAAGCTAATTGCTCCGAGGAACGCCGTTACACTGCGCAAGTGGGCGCGTGGGTGGCGAGCTTGCAGAGCTTGCAGAGCTTACAGAGCTTGCACAGGGCTTCGGGAACACGATCGAATGGTACCGCGAAGAGCGCCCCCCCCCTTTTCTAACGCGGACGCCACGCGGGGGACTTACACTCGATAATCCCCCTCCTCTCCCCTGGACACTCCTACTATCCGACACCTGGCTCGGAACAAAGCCATTCCGAAAACGAAACTGTCACCCGTCCAACTCGAGTCGAGTAAAAGAAAACAAACAAACCGGTCCCGTTCCCTAGAGGCAGGCGCCGGCGCCAAACCTGGAACCTGAAATCGAAATAAGAAAGCTAGCTTCGGCCGGTGCGCATCGCACATCGCACGGAACGCCACTGCGATCTGCATACGTTTCTGAATCCCCTCACTCCGAGAGCTCCTCGAGCAGTGCGCAGAGGGCAAGCCGGACGCGCCGGCCTGCGCCAGCCGAGCCGGGGCTTTCTTTTTATTTTCTCTCTATTTTCTTGAATGCCGCGTGGACTTCGACTTAGATAGCCACCAAGGATCGATTAATCGAACGCACATTATGAACGTGTGTTCGTTTGGTTTTGCTGGTTTGTCATGCATAATCTTCCTACCGCCTATTGGGGAGTAACTGCACTACCCAGGTAAACGTTTCACTGAGATTTTTATTTTCAAATCGATGTGTTAATGAATATGTATATGAATCGTTGTCAATGATGAGCCGGCCCATTGAGTCAATCAGTTCATTAATCAATTCAAAGAAACTTTTTCCAAGTGCGCGAGAGGCCCTTCGTCCGGGGGATGTCCGCGGAAAAACCTTTTGCCCGTCTTGACTGACGCAAACAAGCCTAAACCAACGGTCTTCACTATTCGCTCGCAACAAGCAGCAAGCCGGTTGCTGTGCGGGGCGAGGCTTTCCCAGCGCGCGGCGCACGGCGCACGCTAGACACTGCATCATGCTCTACTTGCAGGCGGCCAGCTCATCCCTTATCAAGACCGGGGAAGAACGGAGGGGGCAGCGCAGCCGGACACACGTGCGTGCGCACGGCGCGCAGGCCGGACAGACCGGCAGGCAGCACACTGGCCGGGCGGGGAGGCCGGACCGCGCTGGACACAGGAAAACACGACAGCCACGAAAAGCGAGTGGCCCTAACGCCCTGGACACGAAGCGAGCCCGGTGGTGCTGCTCAAGCACCAGCCGCACGCACAACATGCCCAGCCCTGGACAGCCCGGACAGGTGAGCGAGTCCATTAAGCTGACGTCCCGGTCGTGGGCCGGACGGCCCGGACAGGCAGGCACGCTCCTTTCGGGCGCAAGCCAGCCGAAGGCCTGGTCTCTAGCCTGGCCCAGCAGGCCAGCTTGCCGCGGCTTGGGACGCGCTCAGAAGCCTCCCCCTCCCCTCCACCTACGCAGTGCTGTACCCTCAACGCAATCAAAACAAAAATCGTCCCGCACGTTCCCCAGCCCAGGCGCCGTGGTGGTTACGAGTCCCCGACATGGAAATTCGCGCGGATGCTCGCGGGCCGGGCGAGGCGGGGCGAGACCGCGCCCCGGTCCCAACAAGAATCGCTTGTGCATGTGCACACACTCACACTGACACACGATACACACACGGGGCACACGCGGCGAACGCGCTCTTGTCTCCGGCGGTGACAACGTTTTCGGGTGCGCGACGCTTCGCACCGGCGTGCCGCGGCGCTACTGCCTGCCGGTGCTGTCGGTGCCGCCGGTCCGTCGTGACGTGTGTCATGACGTGCCGTAACGCGGCGGTGGCGGGCACGCCGCGCACCCAGCAGAGCCTGCAGAGCCATCGCCCGGGTGACGTTCCGGTCCGGTGCGGGCCGCCAGCCCCGCCAGCCCCCGCCAGCCCCGCCGCCGCGGTCCGGGGGCCCGGAAGCTGCCCCGTGACTGCCACGCCGGTTATGCTCCGCAGTGTCACAGCACGGCCGGCACGGCCACAGCCCGCGTCCCGACACGCACCTCACGAAAAAGCCGCTGCGGAGGCCGGCCGAAAAAGAATGAAATGAAATGAATGAAATGAAACAACGTCGAGCGGCTTGTGTTTTCGGCAGGACTTGAGAGGTTTGACTCGAGGAGGGCAGTGCCCGCGACGAAAGCTTCATGATGCAGCATGCAGCCTCGTCCACGCCCTTGTCCGCCGCCGCCACTGCGTTTGGAGGCCCGGCCGCCGCTGCCGCCACGGCCCCCGCATACAGATCGGCCGCTAGATCTTAGATCTCGGCCCCGATGGAGAGCTTCTTGGTCTTGGCCACCTCCAGCCGGGCGCGGCCGAGGCCGAGAATGCACGCGACAAGTCACGCGTCCGGCCGAAGAAAGCGCGGCCCGTGATCCGGGCGCCCTTCCATCATCGGGGCCCTTTTAGTTCCCGGCGCGCCCTTCGCCCTTGAGGGACACGGCGGACACGGCCACGCGGACGTCCTCCAGGACCATTTCCCATTCTTCGCGCGTCTCCTCGTCGGCACTCGGAAGGTCGCGCCGAGGCCGCCGAGGCCACCGGGACGAAAAAAGAAGTTATGCCTCCACTTTCTCCTGGCGATCGGCAAAGCAGCAAGCGGGCAAAGGGGATTCGACCGTCGCGCTCGAGGCCACAGGCTGCCGGCCCATGGCGGCCTTGAACTGTCTGCGGCCTCCCGGACGGCGGTTTGAGTGAGGCTCACCGCGTCAAAAAACAAAACTTAAAAATTGAACTACATTAAAATTTTAATTGTTTCGCTTTCGCGACGCGCAGGGCGGTGCCGTTCCAGGAAAAGGGTGTCCACGGCACCGCCACGCCGTCGGCACGCATGTGCGAGACCCCTCGACCATATCGCCATTCAGCCTCTCCGACACGACACAGCCGCCCCGCATCGAAATGCACCGGCCGGCCTCACACGCGCCATGCAGCGCCGCGCGTCGCATTGGGACCGTTCCGCAACAACAGGCGTTGCAGTTTGACACGCTTGCGAAACGGGCCACGCCGCCCCGAGCAACACCTCGCTATCTACGGACTATCGCGGCTCGCCTCGTCGCACCTGTACGCCGTCCTGTATGGCGGCAGGCGCGCGCCGCTTGACAACGAGTGCATCGCCGTGCCGAACGCCCCCCGAACGCCCCCCGAACGCGGCCCGAACGCCGCCCGAACGCGGCCCGAACAGTGCAGCAACGTCGGGCCCAATTGCCCCGAAAACAAGCGCAACGCCTCGCGGTCCTGCCTTGTCTTCCGAGAAGAACATCGCGCCTGACGAGCCGCGAGCCGCGCGGAATTAAAGTTCCGGGCGCGCCGCGGGACGCGAGACGCGCTGCAACGCGGCGGGCTGGCAATTAGACAGACACCGCGCCGCCGACGGAACGAGCTGAACGAGCTTAAAGAAATGTAACAGCGCAGCACACAAGGCGCGAGGCGGCAAGGCGGCGTTATTTCCGTGTCCGGATGCCTGGGGCCTTGCTGCTGGCGCTGCTGGTGCTGCAGGCTGCCTCGCTGCTCCAACAACCACTCCGCCACGCTCCAACGGCCGACGGCCTGGCTAGCCGGACGCATCGCGGCGATACTCCCTGCGGCCGCGGCGCGTGTCTCTGCGCGTGAGGGGTATCGCCGCTGGAAGGGCCTCGCCAAAGGTTGGCGAAGGAAGAAGCGCAGCACGCGTTCCACAGTGTGCGAGAGGACCGGTGGAGGCGGTCAAAGCCACTAATCAGGACTCGAACCGAAAGTGTGCCCCCACCAATGGATTCCTCGTTCGGAGAGCAATTCATTAGTGGGGTCACGCGTCCGGCTCGAGTCCCATTCAGCAACTCCGGAGCTCAAAACGCGTCCCCGATTTTGACCCCCTCCGCCGGTCCTCTGGCCCACTG